TATCTCTAGTTTCCTTTTTACCTTTTAATTTTGACTTTGAAACTAGAGATGAGAATTCTCTTTTTTTTTTTTCACAAAGGTAGATAGTAAAAAACATATGGATAGTTGTTTCTCAGCTGTGTATCTTATTTATTTCCTAGAATGACTACATTGTAAGAGTTGCTTTGCTCCACCTCTCTCCCAGGTCCGAATCACTGATTTACCTTATAATTTTCCCAGTTTCTGAAGAAGTTGACAGAGCCATCTGTTCTTTTCTGAATAACAGTCCAACCCCCTGGATCCAAACTGTTCTCACACCATAACTGTATTGGTCCATTGCTGTTTTCAGGTTTAATCATATAAATCCCACTGACTGAATGTCCAGCTTCTTTTGCATGCTGACAGTCTTTGAATGGTCCTATAATTAAAATATCATTGATTACCAGGAAACTTACTAGGAATAGAGCCTTATTAAAATAGTTTTAGTCTAGGGTCTTACCTTTATTCTTTCTTTACAATACAACTTTTTATCTATTGTATACACAATACCATAGAAGTTAAAGAAACTAAATAAAGGATTACCCCAGTCCCACTATCTGGAACATTAACTTGTTCCATTTTCCACTGTTCTTAGGAGTCTTTGTCCATATGCATACATTTTTATATTGTTGTAATTCTGACACACATAGAAAATTGAATTCTGTCTTTTAACAAAAAGACCGTTTCCTTGGGACCACAGTCTTCATTCTAGCACTTATAGTAGCTGTAATATACAATTTTTAACATTAGTATATCATTGTTTATTACTCTGTCATTGGATACTGAAGTTCCATCTGATTTTTGCTATTGTAAGGTGCACAAAGTGTCTTCTTATTGGCTTCATTTTTTTCAAATATTTACTTTAAAAATGCTGTGGGATTGATCTGCTAGATCAAGAGGGTGTGAACACTTTTATGGCTCTTCATTGTACCCAGTTTACATTTTCCAAAATTTGATTTCACTTGAACACACTAGTCCCTTAAAGTACTTTGTGAAAACCACCTACCATGGTCAAATAAGTTTTATTATTGCTAAGTATTATATTACCCTTTTGGAAACTCACAGTGTACATGTACATATTAAAGACTAAGAGGCCCTGAAATAAATCAGAATTTCCCAAACTTACAGAATCTGTTAACTTTTTTCCTCATTCAGTAGTCCATATGAATGCATTTCAGGAATGTTGGCAAAATGCCTTTCTAAAGAATTGTTTCAATTTATATGACTAACAGTAATTTTCTTAGTCTACACAGTGACCCTGTGATCGTTTACAGATGTCCTATAGATGAAACAATTAACAGTTAACTATAGATGAAACTAAAGTCCTGTATCTTAGAAGGTAATAAACCTTGGACTTAAACCCGTTTCTTTCTAACCCCAGGGCCCATGTTCTGAACTACTGGCTACATTTGCTTCCGTGTTATTTCATAGGGAGAGAAACGGATTCTCTCCCTGTTTTTTAATCCACTAGTAAGTTCTTCGTATCTTTTAAAATGACAGAACATTTTTGTGAAATACTTTGTAGTGTCTGACTCTTGAACTTGTGATTTCCACATTTTTTTGGATCTAAAGAAAGATTGCTTCTAAGTTTTACTGAACATTTCTTTAGTTGAACCATTCTCCAGTGTTTTGATCCTTTGTTGTTTTTTTTTATAAGGATGTAAAAATATTAAGTGATTCAGAAATAAGAATTATCCCACAGATCTTTTAGAACAACAATAAAAAAGTATAGAAATTCCAGTCATCACATTTTATATTTTACTAGAAATGTTTACATTTTGACATGTGCAATTTTTAGAAATTAGGTGAGAATAGAGTTTAGTCGAGTAAAGCTCATACACTATAATGAAAGTAGGATTGTTGAAATTTTAAGAAATGTGTTATCTATACTGTACCGGTGTATAAAGGGACCCTTTTGGGCTAACTGGGGAAGGAGTCATCTCATTAAATAAGTAGTTATACGATTGCATCATTAGAAGAGGTTCTTAGAGACTGAACTCTTTCCTCTAGATTGCTCCTTGAGGATGGAGACTATTTTTGTTTTTCTTCTGACTTTACATTATCAGCGTTTTAACTATTAGTAGGCTATCGGTCATTTTTTTAAGTAAATAAATTAACTTGCCTTCACACTTTAAATACAAGGAAATTGAAAACCACACACAAAATCAATAGATGATATATTTCTCTAGCCCACATTTTTATGTTCTGTTGATATTTCTGTTTCAGACTTTTTGAAATTATGATACAATAACTATAAACACTATACATTACTAGTAAAAAAATTTGAGAACCTGGAAAGACTTAATGCTCCCTTTCTTGGGTTACATTTATTTTAGGTATTGGATTCTTTAATTCTTTTAAAAAATTTGATTCTTTTTTTTTGTAGTTTTTATTTCTCTCCTGCAGTTTCTAATCTTGCATTCATTATGAACATATCCTTTAAGCTGTAATATCTACTTTAAAAATTCTTGTCCCTTCTGTTCCTAGTTTGCTGAGAGTTTTTATCATAATGGATTTTGGGTTTTGTCAGGAGCTTTTTTTATCTACTGAGATAATAGGGTTTTTCTTTTGTTTGTTAGTAGGTGAATTCTGTGATTATTTTTTAATATTAAACCAACCACCTTATTGCTGGGATAGTCTTGACTTGGTCATATGTATTACTAGTTTTATGTATTGCTAGATTTCATTTGCTAAAATTGTGCTAAGAATTTCTGCTTTCGGGGGCACCTGGGTGGCTCAGTCAGTTGAATGTCCAACTCATGATTTAGTCTCAGGTCATGATCTCATAGTTTGAGATTAAGCCCTGTGTTGGGCTCTGTGTTGACAGCGTGGAGCCTGCTTGGGACTCTCCCTCTCTCTCTGCCTCTCTCTTTCTCTCAAAATAAATAAATTAAAAAAATAATAAAAAGGAATTTCTGCTTTTATATTCATGAGGATATTGATTAGTCTGTGAAAGCTCATAAATAGGTTCTTAAGGTAGGGAGGACTGTGAAAAAATAATGTTTTGAGCTTATTAGACTGGCCATAAATTTGATCACATTCCATTAAAATTCAGTGTGAATTGTTTTTATATTATCTACCTTATCATTTACTGAATTTAAGTTACAAAGTATTCAGAACTTTTAACACAGTGCTTTAGAGAGTAGTCATCATGAGTAACTTGTTAATTGCCTTCTTTTCTCCTTCATTGCAGACCTTGAAAAAAAAGCAGTTGCTCATGTAATAAATATGTATCTTATTTAATTAATAAATTTAATATGGCTAATCAAAGGTGAATGTACAGTCATTTCTATTGTAGAAAATAATGTATTCCTGAAAAACTTCATGTTCTGTAAAATGTTACACTAAAAATAACAGCAAATATTAGCTGCTAACATACTTTGTATTCAGCTGTTGATGCTTGTGACACAAAACATTAAAATAGCTTGGAAAAAATCCCAATGAACCAATATGACCTCTTTGTTTTACTGATATTATTCTCCTTTTTTATCCGTCACATATGAGCTACTAAACATTTCAGAAGCATGCATTGTAGTCAAGTCAGAGAAGGATAGAGAGGTTGTAATTCAGATAGGATGAAATCTATGGAATTTTATATGCAGGAGCAAAATTGAAGGAAAAGTGAAGTCTAATTTCCAGGTCCATTCTTAGATTATTTTGTGTAATGCATGATATTATATTCATTTGTTTACTCCTACAACTCCCCATGGGCCAAGACTGTATCTTTTAGTTGTGCATCCATAGTTCAAGCCCACCTAGGCACTCAAATATTTGTTGAGCTACATGATCCCTAGTAGCCACAGTGGTTTCCAGAATTTCCTCAGTTCTGCATTTTTTCCATATGTTTCTTTTCTGCATCTATGACAGGCTAGAAAGTTTAGGCTCAAGAGGTAAAGACGCAACCATAGAGTTAAGTGGGAAGTGGGGGAAGTGGCAAGCAAAAAGGGAATTCCACTGCAACATGACAAATACTTTGACGGAGTTATGCAGGACAGTTGGGAATACTGGCCAACAAATAACTAACCCGGATTTGCAGAAAAGAGATCAAAGTCTACCTGTATCTAAGCTGAGTTTTGAAAATTGAGTCAGAGCTTGGGCTCGGAGTGTGGGGGTTAGGAGTCTGATCAAGGCTACCCATGAGTAACCTGAGCTGAGAACTGAAAACAGAAGAGAGCTTGAGGTTACAGAGGACTTACAAGTTTTGTATGCCTGAAATGTAAAGGGCCAAGGGTGATACTTAGAGCCCTTGAGGTAGACTGTCGAGTTGAAGTTGTCACTTCCACAATAGTCAAGGATATCTGAGGAACATTGCTCTTATCTTAAACTCTATTATAGTTAATGCACACATAAAATGGTCTTGTTGCAGTCCACATAAATATTCCCTCATTTCAGAAATTTGTCTATTCTATAAATGTCACCTTTGTATTGTTTATTTTATGAATGTCATCCTTGTAAATGTTTGCTCTGCACTCATTTGACTATAGTTTTGGCAATTACATTTTATATTTAAGTATATATTCAGAAGTTTGACTTTCACTAGGTTACTTGAATTGCTCTAAAATATTTAGAAACATCAAGGTGTTGAATGTTGACTGAATATTTGTAAAATACCATTTGTTTCTTTTCTGCGACTTAAAAGGCCCTTGGATATTTAAACAAATTGGAGAGTTGTGGGTTTTCTAAATCCAGCTTTGATTTGATAAGACTTCATTTTATGCAATATTAAAATTACCTTTAACTTTAATTTTCAACCCGCTTTTTTGGTGATGGCCTTCATATTTACAGTTCAGATGCCTGTTAGATTTAGTTGATCAAAAATCTTAGGAAAATTTAGTTGAAATCCTTTTCTAGAACGTGTCTAAAATTAGTAGTGTTCTAGCTACTTTTTTCTCCTTGGTAAAGATAGTTAATATTAGAATTTAGTATTTGTTTGTGTTTATTTTTTACAAATAAACCATTAACCTGTCTTAGCCCAGTATATATTGTTGGTCTTGGCAGAAATATTTTTTCATTATTACTTGTATGTGTTATTTACTTTCTGCTCTAGAGTTTGATTATAAGACAGTCTTCTATTAAGTGTTTTACTGCTTTCTCTTCCACAAAAGTCATTGCCTAATAGGAATTCTTAAATGACTAGAAGAAAAGTAATAGCTTTATTTTTGAGAGGTCAAATTTAACTTGAAGGTTTGTATATGATCAGAAGTAAGTTTACTAACATATCTTTCAGGAATTTGTTCAGAATGGTTCACAAAGGGTATAGACTGGGAGTACCTTTCTTTTAAAATAGGAATTTTATTAACCTTTTTCTTGCATTGAGTAATCTTGAAAGAGTCTTCATCTTTCTTGACACAACTGGATTCTTCTCAAGGCAGGAAACTG